TCATTACATCTTACTCCTAGTAAACATGGTTATGTAAGTGAAGCCACAGTTTATTAAGTTGTGGATTTTATCTGTACCTTAATTTGAAAATGAAATTTTTGAAGCAAAAATCACATACCTTTCTGTTTTTGCATATTTTCAAGAGCCACATAATTATCACAGAGATTGTCTAACTACTCACTTGTATTTTTTTTTTCTTTCCTTTTCTTTTCTTTTTTTTCATTTACTGACACATTTTCTGCATCTTCATCTTTTATCTTGCAAATTTACCACATTTTGACGCATCCTCACAGATCATATTTCGTCATATTTATTTGCACAATTTTGTTTCACTACAGAATATGAAACCCATTGAAAGGATATCCCCCCCATAAAACAAGACATTTTATAATAAATATCTTTATTCAATTGCCTTCAAAATGCATTGAAAATATTCTTCAATTACACAAAAATGTCAATAATACATTGCTAATGAACCATTTTCATTGTATCTGCGTACTTCAACTTGTTATATATGCACTTGATTTCCTACAGAAATCAATGTGTAGTACAGGAAACAGTAATATAGCCATGTGTATATTTCTGCAGTTGATTATGGTATTTATGCAAATAAATAACTTACTTCAGACTTACTATAGTAAAAATACTTTAATAGTGATCACACATATTGCATCAGTTTTGGGTGAATAATAACACACTCCACTTTTATACACTATTATTTCTTCAAAATGTTACAATGATTTTATATATATATATATATATATTTACATAGTCAATGTTGACCAGAAATGTGACTCATATATTTTCATTCATTTAATGCATTACTTTTGGAATTTATCTGAAAAATATTAGAGGCCAAACCAAATTTTTCAGTTCATAGATTTGGTTAATGTATAAAATACCAGTAACCAAAATAGTGATAGCACCCAAAAAATTCATGATATATTAAAAATAGACATTTGAATCCATGAAAGGAAATCCACACTAGATCATTCAAATCTGGCATAAACATAAACTTTTAGAAAACATCTTGTTACAAATTTACAACTTGGTTGCACTGTTTCAAGAACAAAACCTTAGTCCTGTCTAAATATAAATATAATCAATATATATATTTTTCCATTCAATTTCATTGCACTAATAAGAAATCCTTTACTATGTCTACAAAGAAAAAGTACATTTCATGACCTACTGCATGAATGTGAATTGTGTGTAGACACACAGCCGAGGAAATCTTTGTTTTGCTCTGTAACAAAACTTGTCTTCTGGAATACCAATGACTTGTAACAATACTTTTTTTTATAATAGTTCAATTGCATCTAAAATGCTTGCAGACTCTTTTTTCATATTTTTTTTAGAAGGGAAATGACTTTAACATAAAGGATGAGACCAGCCACACAAATAAAATAAAAAATCAGAGTAAAGTAGTTAACATAAATGCAGACCTTACACAAATGCAAGATAAGCCTTTCCACAATGTTAATCCACTGAAACAATGAAACTCATTCAATATCATCTTTTGATATTACTGAACTTGTGACACTGATGACAAAGTTGACTGACAAAAGTAAGACTTCATGAGACTAGAAGTGACAATCAAAACTAAATACATAATCACTAATCAATCAATATATAAATAGCATAAAACAGAATCGGCACGCATTTCAATTTCATCCCTCATTTCCGATTGCCACTTCCATTAATAACTGAAAAATACATTACATTTAATACTTCAAGCACACTGTAAAATAATACAAAAACTTAAAATTAATGATATGTTTTGAATAAAGATTGCATAGCCTAAAATAAGAAAAGAAACTTAATGTAATAATCACCCAAAACAATATGATTCACACACAACCCAAAAACATACATGTTAATTTAGCACAAATAACCTAAAACTGGAATAGAATAAAATCAGTGATATGCAGGTACTTCCTCTGAAACCTCTACTCTAACAAAGAATTCCTATAATCCCCAAAACCTGGACAGCATGATGAAAAACTATTTTTCATAAATAAAGAAGGATGAAGTCAAAAGCTAGAGAATCACTAAAAACTGCACTTTTGTATGGCAATTTACATACTTACTTTGAGACAGCACCTTTCTCAAAATGATTATGAAGACACTGTACAGCTAAGCATAGGAGCTATGAGACATGATTTTTATGAGATAAATAAACTTCAAGAAAAGTATTTCAAAAATAATACAAGACCACTCATACAATATAAGGCATATTACAGATTACTGTTAATAATGTACATAAACCTGCTTTCCTCAGGTTTCTAAACATTCATAATACACTGCAGGAGCTAAAAATTGCTAGTACTGAATATTGACCAAAAAGCAATGGTTCTTATTATTAACATTAATATTAAAAGAAGCCCTCACTCAGTATAATAATGTAATAAACATGAAAAAATGTGACTGAAGAGAACAATACACATACTTCTTCATGTAGATGAAATCTTTCAGATCCACTATCAGGTAATAAATATGATTTACATACAGAATGATTATGAGAATGTTACCTGATATTTATTAAGAGTATCAAAACATGGAATAGTATATATAACCAAGAGAAAAATCTGGATATTACATATTAGAAATATGTAACACAAAACAATCAATTCATGTTTTACAAATATAGATTTATAAAATGGAATGTTATAACAAACATATTTTTTCTATTTTCATATATAACAACATCCAGACATCTCTTTTTTTTGTACCATTTTGGTGTGGCTTCCAAACACCAATCTGCCATTCATTTCTTTTCATGGAAATTCTCAAGTTGCTACATCATTTTCTATGCAGGGTGTCTGGTTGCTGCCAAATCATGATTCTAGTCAATTTCTTACAATGAAAAGCATCCTCTTAGCATTTCTTCCACTGCTGTTCTAGTTGCTGAGGTGATCATGTATGCTACAAAAAAAAAAAAATAGAATTTTATATGACTTGTTTCCAACACTAAAAAATTATTGCAGTTATTTTCACTCACAAAGACAATTTCCTCTAGTTCTCTCTGCCAGCATCACTAAGGGGCAAAAAGTGCTAGAAGTGTAAACTGTATTCATTGCAACAAATGTAGAAGATGTGTGAACAAGAATGAATATCTTCACAATATAAGAGATGTACTTAACTGGTTTTGAACACATCTTTGTAAGAAATACACATGTTTCTGATGAAGATGTATTTGAAACTGGTTAAATACATCTTTTGTAATGTTAAGATATTCATTCTCATTCAACCTTTTTCTGCATACAGTGCTAGAAGTATTGTTTTCATTTCTAACTGCTAGGAAGGCTATCACAGGTTGAGGCCACATTATTAAAACTGACATGATTCAAAAAGAATTACTTTTTATCTACCATTCTTTCATTTTGTTTATGAATCTATATATTTATGTATGCCCTTAATACACAAAGCTCTAACACAAATATCAAAAGTCTTCATGTTGTATGATATATTTTGTTAACAATTAGTGCCAATATTTCCTCATTCAAAGGAGTAACCTATATGTCTGAAGCACAAAACATTGCATAAATCACTCAAAAATCTTACCTGATTTAAATGCGGAGCAATCTGACCACTGGATGCTTGGACTAGGATCTTTGGACGTGTGAATTTGAAGGAATCCCCAAAGATTTGCTCCAGCTCACTGTCAGTACTGGAACTTTCTGGAGATGGCTGCCACGTGCTGGAGATACACAGGGAACTTATTTACTTTTCTGACATGTTACACAGACAATCATATTTATGCACAAGCACATGCACGCACATATATACTTATATTAAATACAAAGACATATAAGTACACTCATATAATATACTTGAACAAGCATGCACACCTTGCTTGATTGCTGGTCTGTAGGGTATTGGGCATGGGGGGAGAACTGCGGGAATTCTCTCTGAAGCTTGCTGTTCTGACAGTCGTCATTCCTCCTGACTTCGAGACACTGTTTTGTATCTGAAAGGTGGTTGTCTGTGACTGCGAAATTTGTGAAAATCTGGATTCTGACGTACTGCCATTCTGCACTGAAGGCCCTTGATATTTTTGAACAACTGTTGGCATGTGAAGGACCTCTGCAGAATTCACCCTAGGAAAGGTTTTCTCTGTCACCATGTTCCTCGAAACTGTATATATTGTACAGGGTTGTGAAGAGACCTGTCTTTGCTCTGTGAAAACCTTACCCTGAACAGGAACCTCACACTTTACAGAACTTGTAGAATTTGATACGACTTTCTTCCCATTGGTGTATATACCCTGGGATATCTGTTGAAATCCTCTTCCAGACTGTACAATGTGTTTCTGTGGAGTGATTTTGCTGACTGCCTGACCAGCTGGAAGTACAGTAATAACAGTGGATGGCTCCTGTTGCATATATCCACCAGTCCTGGTAATGAGTTTTATCACCTGAGGTCCCTGGGTGGCTGTGGAACCAACGGACATAACACGGGACTGATTTTGTGAATTGTTCATGAATCTGTTGCCCCCCTTCACCACGACCACAGGTTTCACTTGCTGGTTCTGGGACAGGCAAGTATTTGGGGTATTAGCAGAGCCCGTGTTCACTGGATAGAATGGAGATGATGTTTGAGCAAAAATGGGAATATTTCTTGGTGATGGAATCATGGTTGTTGTATCTGGATGGACTATCTGACTTGTCTGAAATAAAAGAAACACAAAAATTAACAATACACAAAAGGCCAGCTAATCTAAACCATTTAATTCAAGCATTTTCTTATTATCTCCTTTGTGAATCTAAAGTCAAAAGAACTCAGATATTTATACACATGATCTGGACTTATCCTTTATAATTCTAATACATTTAAACTTCCAGAACATAATACAATGGACAAATTATTAACTACCACAGAAAACATACCACACTGTTTCCCATCGTTTCAGGTGCAACATGAAGTACCTTAGCCACAGACGGTGCATGCTTAGTAATAATCTGTGCTGGTGACCTAAGGTGTGTGGATTCATTATCGCCCTGGGGTGGGGTCTGGAATGTCAGGGCGATGGGGATCTTAGTCCGATTTGTAAAACGGCGCTGAAGAAGGGTGCGGAGGGACGACTGAGGGACTGAGGTGATAGGCTTGAATCCTGCCAGGTCTGATGAGGATTCCTCACTCTGTGGGTGATGAGGATACAATATTAGTGTTGCTTTACTGATTTCCATGAAGTATGTCTCTTGTTGCTAGTATGGCTTAACAATATCAGTAGCTATCAAAACTACAATTTGCATCAATATCAAGTACCAGATTCCAAAACCAATTAAATCAACATTTATCACATATAAGAATCTAT